TTGTGGCACGACTAAAACATCTTATATTAATGAAGTCATGAAAATTTAAAGGGAAAGATCTTCCAAGAATCAGCTACGTCAACCCGGTGTCTTTCATCACTAGTGACTTGAAACTTAAAGTAGACAAAATTTTTGTAGATATTGAGGTTAAACATGGACAACGTGGAGGTCAAGGTCAACATATAAGTTATCAACACCTTCTTAAACTTGCTCAGACTACAGCAGCACCTTCATCTACAAGAACTTTCTCATAACAACAAGGTACATCTACTCACCCACATATAATATTGGTTGAAGGTCTGACTGGCAGTGGCAAGACTACTCTAGTGACGTTAGTAATAGATGAATGGACTCGGGGAGGTCAAGGTAATATTAGTGACTTAGATAATTACGAGCTTCTACTGTGGGTACAGTGCCGGGACCCAACAATGACCTGCTACCAGCAACTCCTGGACAGACTGATGCCAGAAGTTGTTATAAAATTCAAGGAAATTCTTCCGAAACTGATGAAGCTTTGCAAGATCTTAATTATAATTGACGGCCTTGATGAAGACAATGAAAGTTCTAGAAGACTTGTCCAGAGTCTATTGCAAGAATTTAAGTACTGTTCTAATATTGCTTTTCTGTGCACTTCACGACCAGAAAAAGTTGAGAACTTCAGTAGAACAATCCCTGCAGAATATACTGTGCAACATGCAACACTACATGGTATATCTAGGACAAATGTGGAACAATTTGTGCGTCTGAACCACCAGGAGATAACCAAACAAACAGGGAATAACAGAAATACTGATGAACTGGTAAAAAAAGTGATAAAGATAGAAGAACTTCATGATCACTTAAGATTACCAATGAATTTGATTCTCATGATATACATCTGGGACCCTGACCCTGACCAGCTAAACTTAACATCTGTCACTCACACGAAGCTATATTATAATATTCATGAACTGTGTAAACACAAGTTAATACACAGACTGACCAACCATCAAGATACAAAGTATATGGATTACAAGAAATTAAAGGGTAACATTAACAATGTTTTGATAACAATATACAAGACAGCGCTAGAAAGTCTTTCAGTTGATCAGTTAAACCTTGAGGAACAAACTGTAGATAAACTGATATCTGCCTGTGATGATTTGTGTTTACCTTATAAAGAAGTGTTGTCAGCGTTCCTTTGTTTAAGACCAACTTGGACGATGCTGGGGATCAAGGAGCGGTACTCAGCTCCTCACAAGGGAATACAAGACTACTTCGCTGCTCTCTATATTGTCAACAATCTTAATAACCCACAGTATTCTACACCTACACCTGCCTCTGCTACACTTGCTTCAGCTACACCTGACGCACGTGTCAGTATCAGAGGAGTGTTAAAGAAAGCATCAGGTCAGTGTAGTAGACATGAACAAGTACCTGAATGTTCTGATACATGTGGCTGGGCTGCTGCACCTTGTACTAGAAATGGTACCTGACACACCAGCACGGGAAGTGGTTCATCTCCTGCATGAGTCTGGTATGAGAGGCAATGACCAGTGGTTCGACCTCCTTGACAATGCTAAAATGTCTCCAGCAATTGTCAAAGAAATACCTTACTTCTTCAATACTGAAGAAACAATTGACGTACGTGATAGACGTGTGAGAAGCTACGCTGCTCTCTTACCACACCTCAGCTCCTGCAAGGTGAAGATTATTATCCATGGTGACCCAGGAGACCTACCTGACCTACCTTACCTGCTGGCTGCCCTCACCCACCACCACTGTACACGCCTGGTACTGTACCACCACTACCATCATGCTGACACAACCACCACTTCTAACATCCAGCAGCAGTATTTATATTATGCACTCAGGTAAGAAAGACCTGTTAACCTGGGTTGTAAAGGGACTTGGAGACAAAATAAACACACAGCAGTAGTCTTTAAATTATATTTTCCTTCACCAAGTACGATATAGGCATTTACCCTTATGCACAATATATACAATAGTTTGGAAAATAAGTGTATCACGGTGGTCAAGAGGCAAGACAACAGCCAGAGACAAGAGACAACCGTGATCAACCAGCAGCTGTATGAATCTGACAAGAGCTAACAATGAGTGCTTCCACTTCACCTTAGCAATTGTTTGACCCACATTATGATTGACTGAACCAAGGTACTGATTTAACAATTAGGCCCCCTTAATCATTAAACCCTTAGCACCCAGTTCGCTGGTCGGGAGGAAGCCGAATGAATAAATGTAATATAAATAACAAAAAGGCACAATACCGTGACTGAAACGATACACAAATAACCCGCACATAAAAGAGAGAAGCTTACGACGACGTTTCGGTCCGACTTGGACCATTGACAAAGTCACACTAACAGAGGTGGAGCAGGACGGCTATATATAGGCAGGAAGAGGTAGAGGTAGTAGTAGTAGTAGTAGTAGTAGTAGTAGTAGTAGTAGTAGTAGTAGTAGTAGTACAAGAATTGTATATAATACCGACAGGATGAAATGACACATGCACAACACCCGGGCATCCCCACCGTAGACGTTTCGCCATCCAGCCAGCCACTGGATGGCGAAACGTCCACAACAAAGACAACCAGACGCCGCACATGTGTCTTAATTTCATCAGTATTTGTAGTAGAAGAAGAAGAGGTAGTAGTAGTGGTAGTGGTAGAAGTGGGAAATAAGGAAGACGAGCCAGTCAAATACAAAGGAAGAGAGCACTGCAAGAGAGCTAGAAACCCACAGAGGGAGAGCAAGCGCACCGAGGTGCGTGAAAGGGGAAGTGGTGAAATAAAATAAATGAAGAAGGAACAGAAACACGAGACAGGAGAGAGAAAGACAACCCAGAGGAGAAAAGGAGAGAGGAAAGGGGAAGAGGAAGAAGAAAAAGAAGAAGAAGAAGAAGAAGAAAAGAAGAAGAAGAAGAAGAAGAAGAAGAAGAAGAAGAAGAAGAAGAAGAAGAAGAAGAAGAAGAAGAAAAATGAGGATTCAGGTTAAGTCACGGGTGTTCTGAAGTTTGGAGCATTTTACAATGTAGTGGGAGAGGAAGGCATCTACAGAGACGAAGCCAGGGCTAAAGTTCATACAAGGAAAGTTGTGTATTAGAGAGGATTCAACTAAACGGCGACTGTTCGAGTTGGAAGTAGGAAGACAGTTTTAGCAGAAGACCAGTCAATAGGATGGCTATGATCTCTGACGTGACAGAAAAGAGCATTGTTAGTGTCGGCAAGCCTAACACTATTTTTGTGCTCCCTAAGTCTGTCAGAAAGAGATCGACCAGTTTCTCCAAAGTATTGAAGAGGACAGGAGGAGCAAGAAATAGAGTAGACACCAGGAACATCTGTAGAGGGAGGAGAGGTATGAACGAGATTAGTGCGAAGAGTGTTAGTCTGGCGGAAGGTAAGCTTGATGTCTAAGGGACGGAGAGAATTGTTGAGATTATGAACCTTAGCCCTGGCTTCGTCTCTGTAGATGCCTTCCTCTCCCACTACATTGTAAAATGCTCCAAACTTCAGAACACCCGTGACTTAACCTGAATCCTCATTTTTTTTTTCTTCTTCTTCTTCTTCTTCTTCTTCTTCTTCTTCTTCTTCTTCTTCCTTCTTCTTCTTCTTCTTCTTCTTCTTCTTCTTCTTCTTCTTCTTCTTCTTCTTTTCTTCTTCCTCTTCCCCTTTCCTCTCTCCTTTTCTCCTCTGGGTTGTCTTTCTCTCTCCTGTCTCGTGTTTCTGTTCCTTCTTCATTTATTTTATTTCACCACTTCCCCTTTCACACACCTCGGTGCGCTTGCTCTCCCTCTGTGGGTTTCTAGCTCTCTTGCAGTGCTCCCCTTCCTTTGTATTTGACTGGCTCGTCTTCCTTATTTCCCACTTCTACCACTACCACTACTACTACCTCTTCTTCTTCTACTACAACTACTGATGAAATTAAGACACATGTGTGGCGTCTGGTTGTCTTTGTTGTGGACGTTTCGCCATCCAGTGGCTGGCTGGATGGCGAAACGTCTACGGTGGGGATGCCCGGGTGTTGTGCATGTGTCATTTCATCCTGTCGGTATTATATACAATTCTTGTACTACTACTACTACTACTACTACTACTACTACTACTACTACTACTACTACCTCCGCCTCTTCCTGCCTATATATAGCCGTCCTGCTCCACCTCTGTTAGTGTGACTTTGTCAATGGTCCAAGTCGGACCGAAACGTCGTCGTAAGCTTCTCTCTTTTATGTGCGGGTTATTTGTGTAAATGTAATATACTCTTTGCATGCCACATCTCAACCATAAAAGGGCTCTAATGGTCATGACAAGGCTTAAACCTCCATGGGTAGAGTGCTGCCATCGCACATTACAATAATGGAACAGCCTTTCCTCTCAACCATCCAACGCATTAGATAGAACTCAACTGTTCTTGAGACATAAAGCCAAACTCTGAACCTAGAGCAAGACAGCAGACAGTAGGGCTAACGTACGTTCAAGGTATCTGTGGACAGTAGCAGAATATCCCCTCGCTAAAAAATCCCCACCACAGTAACATCAAATTTTGTATATATATACAAAAGAAGAAAGGAGGAAAAGAGCTATTCTACCTATATAGTCCCTAATACATCCTAACCTAAACGTTAAAATTTTATATTCTTGAAAAAGTATCAGCCAGCTAATTATCTTTGACATCAATATGAACAAGACATATTTTATATGGTTGTAGCCTGAGACTCAATCTCTTGAGTCTTGTGCTGTGTTTTTTTCTTGGAGTTAATTAAGATACACCAGAGGGATTTGATCACTGTAGACTGTAGCCACATGAGAGGACTGACCCAAGTAGACCTCGAATTGCTCTAATGCTTCTTTTTCGATTGTGGAGTAGGCCTTCTGGTGAGGTTCGTATTTGGCAGAGTAGTAAGCCACAGGTTACAAATCATCATCCCCAGCTTGTAGAAGTACTGCCTTAACCCCTAACTCACAAACATCAACCTGTAATGTAAAAGGCTTGAGAAATCATGAGACAGAAGAATGGGTGCAGTGCAAAGGATTCATTTTGCCATAGCAAAAGTGTCTTGACATTCCGGGGTCCACTGGGAAAGGGACTTGTGACTGGTAAGTGAGATTAAAGGGGCTACCACACTGCTAAATTCTTACAGAATCTTTTAAAAAACCATATCATACCTAGGAAATGTTGGAGGGATTTCCTATCACAAAGTACTGGATAATTTTTAATGGCATGATTTTTAGCAAATTTAGGGGCCACTTTGACACTACCTATTTCAAGGCACAAAAAATTAACAGTAGACTGGCCAGAAGATGACTTGGATAAATTTACAGTTAAGTGGAAACTCTGAAAAGTCTCAAAGAGAGCCTTAAACCTAAACATATGTTGGTCCCAAGTGTCCGACACAATATCATCTAAGTAAGTAGCCGTGCCTTCAAGTCCTTTAATAGCCTGATGGATCAGTTCTTGAGGGGGGTTACTGTATACTGTTAATGACCTCCAGGAATTACAAAGGCAGAGATTTCCTTCGCCTTTTAAAGGTACCTGATGGTAACCTTTAAGTAGGTCGAAGTTAGATACAAAAGTAGCCTTACCCACAAAGTCGATTATGTCATTCAGATGTGGCAGAGGGTAAGCATCTGAAATAGTGATCTCATTCACCTTAAGGTAGTCTGTACACTTTCGAAAACCTCCATCAGCTAACCTACGCTGTAACACAATTTCTTCCTCCTGCTGAAGTAGCCTCTGTTTTTCAAGATTAGCTCTGTAGGGGGAGAGTTTAATAGGTTTAGAGTTTCCAACATTTACATCGTGATATCCTAATATACATTTCTTCAGAGCATCCGAAAAGATATCATGATAAGATTGTAGGAACTCAGTTAAGCTTGTTACGTGATTCTTAGACAGCCCCACCATTAAAGGGCTAGTAGGGTCCTTGAGTAGGACAGAATTTGGAAGCTTTACTTGAATGCAGGAATAGAGTGCAAGGAGTCAGGGTCGTCTTCAGAGGCAGAGGAGAGTCATTACTGGGACTTTATCTGGAGTATTAATGTGGTATATTTTACTCTTTGAGGTCTTGTCAGGTGGAGCTACCACATAATTTACATCAAAATAGTTTACTTACAATTTGCACAAGTCCCGTAAACCTAGCTTTTAAAGTTTGGCCAGGTATAGGTTCCTGTACCAACACCTTGTCTCCTGGATGGAAGGAGCGAAACTTTGAGTTTCTGTCAAACCTCTGCTTCATAGTGTTTTGAGTTGTTTTAAAGTTAGCCTTAGCCATTTGGCGTGCCACCTGTAACCTTGAAAAAGGGTTGTAGAATGTTATGCTGACGTCTTCTCCCATCCATCCTTCCTTGAGCACCTAAAGAGGGCCTCTTACGTTAAGCCCAAAGATCAGCTCAAATGGACTGTACCCTGCAGACTCCTGCACAGTTTCTCTCATTGCGAACAGAACAGAGGAAGTGATGCATCCCAGTCTGTAGGAAAATGCATGCAAAAAGTTCTCATCATGGTTTTTAATGTCTGATAGAATCTTTCCGAGGCGCCTTGGGACTGAGAATGATAGGTAGTGGATAAGTTATGAATTATTCCTAGCCCAGTTAATGCTTCCCTAAAAGTTTTGACATTAAAATTAATACATTGGTCACTCTGAATAGAAAGTAACAGAGACAGGAAGACAATCGTTGGCTCACACATGAGGAAAGCAACACAAGAAAGTACATGTCGCTTGCCATAAGTGCTACTGACAAGTCCGACTTAGACAATGATTCCCCGGCGTAGACATCCTGTCAAGAGCAATGTTAATGTCTAAAGTGACAGTAGTTTGACCACTCCTTTACTACTCCCTTTGTCAAATTGCTTTGAAGAATTCTCTGTAGTATCACCCACGACTGTAGTGTCACCCACGACTGTAGTGTCACCCACGACTGTAGTGTCACCCGTGACTGTAGTGTCACCCATGACTGTAGTGTCACCCATGACTGTAGTGTCACCCATGACTGTAGTGTCACCCATGAGTTTCCTCTCCAAGATTTTTTTTTTTTTTTATATTTTATTTAAAACTCAGGTACAAAATATATGGGTACATAATCAATATGTAACAAGAT